TTATAAATAAAGTTTATTATTATTATTATTATTATTACCCCTCATAAACAAAAGGTTGGTTGGTGCTTCTGTGAGATTACCACATTCTTTGACATCATACAGATCCAAGACTAAAAATGAAACCAGTATTAAACTGATGTTTGAGCTTTGTGATCACAGGGACTACGTGTACCTGCGCAGGTCTTTTCTTGTGTTTAATAAGAACTGAATCCAAACCTGGGTAGAGTGGTGAAGAATCGATCCAATCCAAGTTTTAAAAAAATGACCGCTTTGCCAAAACACCTAAATCTACCGTTTTATCAAAGCCGTTACTATTCTGAGATAAGATGTTCCTTATTGTTGGTGCTTTGATGTAATGTTGAGCACCAGGAGCAGTTGGTCTTGTGTGAACGTGCAACCAACTTGTGTAGAAAGGAAGGGGATGAATAGAAAGGTTATGAAACAGCTGGACACTGCTTTATTTTTTACTCACAAAAAGGTTATGATTAAGTGTTGCGAATGGGCCTAACTGTAAATTTTGATAGATGAGGCTGAATGGTACCTGGAACATTTAAATGCAGTGCCAATAGGTCTTGAGCAAGTGTTGGGATGTGACAAGTGTTGGGAATGAAATCATGTCAAAAATTCACAGTTGCTACTCTTGGTTGGAAATCAGAGCTTCATGTCCAAGGTTGAACATGGAAGGCCTTGAAATAACAGATTAAACTGTCATTTTTTTAGATCATTTCTGGTAAAAATTTGTTAGGCTTGTCACTGAAAACTCATCTGAGAGTTTTAATAAACTCTGGGTCACCTTCAAAAACTTGGAAACAGTAGGCAACGTTTTGCCACCATGTTCACATTTAACATCCATATTTCCTTAAAAAAGTGTGCAACACGTATGGTATGTTTTCTGTGTGTGTGTCAGAGTTGTTAGTCAGCAGTGAATGAAACAGGCAGATTATATAACTGCCACTGGTGTAGTGCTTGGGTAATGTGTCAGTGAGTTCAACACGCTGTTTCAAAGAGTGTTTTTTTTCCCCAATTATTTATCGGTACTGAACGCCACCTGGGTGATGACGACTTTAGTTAAAAGCCCTTGCTTACTTATTTTATTTCAACTAATTCAGTGTTTGTAAGTAGAATTTCCCAAAAGACAACGAATTAGATGGAAAAACAAGAGTAATTAGTGCTACCTACTTCAAATCCTTTATTCAATAATTTATTTCTTCCAGTCAGCTCAACTAGTTAAACGACTGGAACAATTTACTGCCCTGCTCAAAGTGTTGTTGCACTGGAACAGCATGCACAATTGGGAATTAAACCTTCAACCCTTCACCCGCAGTCTTCATGCAGAGCTTCAGACTCATGAGTAAGACTGATTAATCAGCTTTTTATGCCAGTAAAACAAAATCCACGTGGACCGTATTGGAGCGACGAGGCTGCAGGTGACCATGTTGGAGCAGATGCTATAGCAACATGCATTTAATGAGTTGCAGACCATGCGGTCCTGGTTTATAATGGCCAATAAAACGGTTCTGGAATATATTATGTTCCTTGTAAATCTTATGCCAAGGCATCAAAGACCAGAGACAATAAAAATAGTGAGCAGGGTTTCTGAGCAAATGAGCAGGGGGGGAGAAAAAGACGTTTACTGTCCGGCACGACGCTGAAACAAACCAGCTCGAGTTGGTCAATCAGAGGAAAGGTGGACTTTCTGTTACAGATGATGAGCATAAAATACTTTTTTCTGAGGGGTCTTCTCATGTTTGCAGGGTTCTCGTGGTCCTCCTGGTCCTGTTGGCCCATTGGGACCCGCCGGAGTGAGGGTGAGTATAGCCAGGCTGCTTTTAATGGCATCCATGCGGTCTGAATTCTTTAAACATGAACTGTATGGCTTTAGGGTTTCAGTCCTGATCTTATATTTCCAGGGCCCTCAAGGAAAGGAAGGCCCAGCTGGACCTAGAGGAGCCCCAGGGCCCATGGTAAGACGTCTAATGGTTTGACACATGCACACCTCAGAGCTGCAAACCATGCGAACAATTGAGGCATTTAATTGCCTTTCCAAAGAGCTTTGTACTACCGAGTCTTTGCAGGCATATTTCCCAAGAGTCATCTTTGTCCTCTTTCCCACTCATCACTCATCATTATTTTTCTTACCCTTCTCTTTTTCCTTGCAGGGACCTCCAGGATCTCCTGGAGTACCAGGTACCACAGGAAAACCAGGAAATCCTGGAGACTCTGGTCCTCCTGTAAGTTTGCTGGCAGGGTTGTGTGTTCATTGAGCAGCACGTTGGGCCTGAAGAGTTCTTAACAGTTTTGTTTCTCTGGTTCTAGGGTCCCAACGGTCCAAAGGGAGACAAGGGAGAGAGAGTGAGTAAACCTACATCAAATGTTTTTGTCCACAAGTGATGATATTAAAAATATCCTACAACAAGCTGATGAAAACAAGAGGCTAGATTCCCTGTGCAGTTTCACGTTTCAGGAAATTTCTAATTATACATTTACATATAAGTGACTTGAGAAATGACAAATGGAGCAAACAGTAGGAAATGCTGGGAACTTATCACCTAGCATTACGAGTTGTTTGGAGTATTTTCCTGATGTACAACGTGTGACCAAAAAGTCCATGAAAGAAACTGCACCATTTTAAATGTGTCTGCTTCTGGATTGTCTTCATGTGCATGTTCATCTGGCATCCAGTGCGGTTGCCATTCTAAATTTTAGTCTGAAGCCCGATTTCAACATAGACAATTTTAACTTCAGGTTCAGAGAGAGACGAGGAATTTTTCTTTTTGGACATTTATTGGATTGCATCAGTGCTGAGGTGTTGAAATGCTCTGAGGCATCTAAGGGAGAACATTCAACAGAAACCAAAAATATACACACAGAAATTGGACGCCATCCTCGAAGTAGTCATCTTGTCCAGAGCTGCCGTGCTTCCAACACTGGGAACACTTCCTGGAAGTCCTGTTCTGTCAGGACGTCAAGCACCATCGGTAGTGCATGTTGGATCCGCTTCAGTTTGCCAACCTTTAACTTGAATTTCAATTTTTTTTGAAGAGCGAAGTAGCAGGGAACGAATGGAGATATTCATATTAGTGCACCCCATATTCTCCATAATGGAGCACCCATTTGCATCGCACCACTGTTGAGTTTGTTTGTGCAATAGGTTCTCCTAGGATGTTAAAGTAGAACTTGGTATGGACAATCCAAAGCTTCATGTGGGATGAATTCACTGAACCACCTGGAGAAAAACGAGTAGCCAGCTTCTGTTAGAGCTCCCAACTCTGCAAACCTTTTGACCAGGACTTTGGACTTTCGACAGCTCTTCCCCTGCTAGACTGCTGTTTGGTCTCTATAGCCTCAACCTTTGAGATAAAGGTGGGGGTCATTACAGCCGTTGCAAATGCTCCTTAGTGCAAAAGCAGCAGGTGGTCACAAAAATCCTGATTGAGCCACATTTCATTGAAAAGTTTCAGAGAAACATTTTTCTGACTCATATAAAGTCTGTGCACAATGACAATAAAGAACTATTCTATTCCATTCTTTACTGTTTTCCAATTTTAAATCCTGCCTGTCTGCACCCAGGGTGACTTTGCTCCTCAGAACATGATGCGATCCATTGCCAGACAGGTTTGCGGACAGTTAGTCCAAGGTACGTAGAACACATTTTCCCCCTCCTGACATGGATTTAGAAATCTCTGCCTCTTGGCTTTCACGATGTGGTTTGTAATGTTCTTGCTTTCTCTTCACCCTGCTGTTGCAGAACAAATGACTCGGGTGAACTCGTTATTGAATCAAATCCCCAGCAACATGTACCGCAACAATAACCCAGGCCCTCCGGGCCCTCCTGGACCTCCTGGCAATCAGGGACCCCGTGGAGAGCCGGGCGCCACAGGAAGGAACGGATTCCCCGGAAGTTCCGGATTGCCCGGCCAGCAGGGAGAGAGAGGTACGAGCCACCCCTGAGAAGTTGCTGCACGGCAGGAGAGGCTGACATCATGAACAAATGGAGTTAGAAAAATAAACATGAAGTCAAATGATTTCTAAAATGGGAACACAGAAGGCAGCAAAGTGATTATTTACTCTGCAGAACGTTTACCTAAGACGCACCAAACCATCACAGAATGCGAGAAAGGCCTGGCATCATCGTTAATCTGAATTTCAGTCCAGATCGAATCAAATAAAGCTGCTGATGCCAAAATGTAAAAATACTGCAGTGAAAAAAGTACTTCTAATGACCCAGAGACACTTACATCTTTTTTTTTGATCCACAAACAGCAAATTGTAATCTAAGGAGAATGGCCACTGCACACTGCATGTTTCATTTATCCAGATAGACTACTGGCACTCAACAAAACTTAGAAAACTCTGATCTAAATGATCATGAACATGGCTGCTAGTGCATTCATCCCTGTGTTCAGTCTTATTAAAGAAAACGGAATAACTACTGAAGATGTTGCCGGGCAGAATCAGAAATTAAATGTATTTGCATTGCACCCTCACCTTCTGCTCATTAAGGACCCTTTTTGAAGTCTGACATTCCTGTCTCACTTTATGTAACAAAAATTCAGGAAACATATTTCAGAAGAGGCAAAAAAAAGTTCCAAAGCCAAGTTCTACCACAGGGAGGACCTTTTAAGTAGGAGCTCTTATGTAAGGGGAGACAGAAAAAATGTCTTATTTTATTCTGCAACTACAGGATTGAGACCTCCGAGCTCCCAGCCTAATGATACTTGACTTTCCCCCCCTTCAGGTCCCCCAGGAGAGAAAGGCGATCGAGGAACTTCAGTAGTTGGAGCGAAAGGACCGAGGGGACCTCCAGGTACACACTCTTTAGCAAGACACCAAAAATACTTAAAATGTTGGTGAGATCGCTGACAGCTAAAGTTAACAGGCAAAGCTGATTCCTAAGTCCATAATTTATCATCGTTGATGAAACCATCATCTGAACTGCCCCTACAGATTTGTAAGGCTTAAAAAAGATAAATAATTTATGTTTCAGCAAAACAGAACTCTTGTCTCGTCACATTTGCCACTAAAACAACCCAAACACACTCAATGTTTGAGCCAAGATGATGGAAATGGAGCCTTTGCATATAACAATCTACCTTGATGATGTAAACCTTGATTTTTACCTGACTTTGTCACTCATCTTATTGAGTGTCTCACCTTATTCACACCCCACCCCCACCCACTCAAAGATGTCGGCTGATTCAAATGCTTAAAGCTTTGTTTGCTGCCATTCCTGTTAGTCTCTGGCACCAGTGTTATGACACTATGTTGACACATATTTGACAGCAAGATACCCCCCGTCCCGTCTCCTATGAGTATATTTCACTGAGAGGTTTGAATTTGTCTCAGTTAACCATGTCTTCTTGCTCCTTAAAACTGTGCTTAGTTACCCTTAAAGTAGTGATTTAGCCAGGTGGTGGTGCAGCATTGTTAAAGAAAAACACAAACTTTGGTCCTGAAAAAGCAGTTTCACTAGCAACTGCTTATGTAATCGCACTCCATCCTCCGCGACTGCAGCCCTGCCACTTTGTGACGGTCCCAGCTGTCAGACAGAAGCAGTTAGAGTTGAGGAGGGAGAGGAGAGCAGTGAGTCAGCCTGGAGGACATGCCGAGGACGCCGAGGAGACAGTCGGGCAGGAAACTTTCCAATCTTTTTCTGTCCAAGTCTAGACAAAATTCAGAGGGGAGGGGAGGATCAGCACATCCTACTTCTTTTTCCCCATCATAGTTTACATCATTTCATTCCGTGCCCGGGACAGTCAGCAGCAGCGCGACACCTTTCAATTCATTTTGTTTCCAGCTGCGTTGAGTCGCAGTAGTCTAACAACAATATCATAAAATGTTCTCATCTCTGTTTACATCAAATACAAGAGTGTAACTGTAGTTTTTATTAGTTCTAATGGTATAAAAGCACATGGAAGGCTTTTAAAAATTCTGATTCTTAGAAACACGCTGGCTCAAAGCAAAACGCACTTCATGAAAGCGTTCACATCTGAGAAAATGAAAAGCAGCCGGCCTTTGATCTGCACCATTTGAACAGTTTCATCTTTTTATTTTTATAAACGTTGCTTTTACTGGAGAATCAGTCCCGCCCTTCGTTTGAGGCAAAGTTTATAAAAATAAAAGACATGTTGCTACCACCTTTGTCCGTGCTGCATTATGTTGATGTGATTTATCCATGTAGTTTGAATGTAGGGTTTGGTAACTATTTGCAGATATTCCATTATCCCCCTGTGTGATCTCCAATATCTGCACCACTGGGGTGGGGGCTGCAGATGAAGTTGAAGTGAATCCCCTTAATGCAGTTTTTTTTTAGTAATAAACAGACCCAGAGGGGGGAAAAAGATGATAGACCTGCTCCTGTTTTTGTATCGTCTTGAGATGATGGACATTTATTTCTAAAAGGGAAGCAGTTCAAGCACGAATTTGTGACTACACACACATTTGTGTCTAAAGCCATGTCATGGAGCTATAGCGAGGAAGAGTGCAAATAATCTAAATGTCATTCCATGTATTAATGGAATAAGCTAAAAATCACCTTGATTGAAAAGCCAATCACTCCAACCATCATCTATCCCCGACCTGGCTATGACTCCAGTTATCTTATATGTAGGGCTGTTCTTGGTCTGTACCACGTTAATTATTGGCGTCCAGCAACAGTTCTTATTTAGAGACCGTTATCCTTGGTTATGATTCTGGCTTGTGGCCTAATCAGGACTGTCTCAGAGCTGTAACTGTAACCTATTATCCATGCAGGATGGGAGTGTGTGAAGCTGAGTTAGATAACTATTCCACCTCATGTCAAAAGTCATGTGGCAATTGGCTATTGGGGAATTATATTTATATCATAACAAGGCAAAGCAAATTTCATTTTACATGCACAAAGAAGCCTTCGTGCATGCAAGAGAGTCTGATCTGTGCAGAGGCTTCAGAACTTGCCTAAATAACTGTTAATAATTAATTCAGAAAACTTTATTTTTAGCATTTCTGTCACTGCCACAGTGTAACTGAGTTTAATGCAGCAACCTGAAGTGTCCAATCACATTAGGACCCTTTCCGTATTTGGGCTCCTCCTCCAGACCGTCAAATGAGCAGGATTTCTCCGAGTGCAGAGTGCTACCAGTGACAGCGTGAAACTGTAGCAGCGTGTGTAAAGCTGACACAGTCGTGTGCACGGCTGCGCGTTGCTGAATTTACGCACGAGGAATTTAATTCCGCAAGTGCAACTGAATTATTTGCTGGTATTATGTTTTTTTGCTCTTGCACATAGGATGATATAAATATGATTCCATAAACTATCTTCAGCCTGCTGTGATTGCAGTCTGGTAACACTGACAGTTGAACACACATGGGTGTGTTGTCTATTTCCTCCCTCTTTGAAATGCTACTGATCATGATAACTTTTTTTTTTTTTTTTTTTAATTAAACACATCAGGTCCATCAGGAGAGAGCAGGACTGGACCCCCAGGCCCTTCAGGCTCTGCTGGATCTCGCGGACCACCTGGACGTCCAGGATACGCCGGAGTCCGTGGGCCTCCTGGACCTCCTGGATACTGCGATTCCTCTCAGTGTGTCGGTATTCCTTACAATGGGCAGGGATACATAGGTATGTAAAGCATCCTGTCTGTGATCAGAGACATTAGTTCTGTTTGGCAATCTGGGATTAAATGCAACAGTAAAAGAACACGCCAACATTTTGGGAGATGCACTTTCCTGTTCATGAGTCCGGGATGTGATGACTTTAGAATAACACTGAAAACAGAAACTTAAGGGTTAGGCTGATGGATTCTGACAGGGCATGGTATAAAATGATACCTGCAAAGCCAATGCATGCTTTGTGATAACTCAGAAATCTCTGTAGATTAAAACAGCAAAAAAGGTATAAGATAGAAAGTAATTTATAAAAGCAAGGAGCCAGTTAAAGATGCTAAAGATGCCTCCTGGGCACATTCAACTGGGCAGAAACCCTGGAGTAGACCAGAGCCCGTTGGAGAGATTCTATTTCTCACCTGGCCTGGGAATTCCTCGGGAGTCCTCAAGATAAGCTGGGAAGTATCGCTGGGGAAAAGGACATCTAGTAGTCTGGAAACAGAAGACTGAGCTTGATGTGAAGCAATTACTTACTTACCACCTCAACAGCTTAAATCTGCTTCCAGTCTTTATTCTAAGCTGGGCCAATACTCCCTGACTCTGGTTTATAAAAAGGGAGAAAATGCACTTCCCAAAATGTCTGAGCACTCTGTTGTGGGGGGATTAGTGCATGTGTGAAACTTGTAGTCAACTAATAAGCACATAGAGGTTATTGATTTGCTGTCTTCTGCTCTGACCTGACTGACACCTTCCATCCTCTTTGGCCCGTTTCAGGTTCACCATAGTAGACTTTTTATACCGCCTGTGCTGCTTTCACTGACCATCTGAAAACACAAAACAAAAAGTCCTGTAACTGAATCACTCATATGCTCTAAAGCTGTTTAAAGGGATAACCACCAAAGGAAACAATTAACAAACTGTGCTGAAAACATCACAACAACAAAGAGGGAACGAGTACTAACGACTCACAGACAGTAGAGCAAAACACCAGCAGCAGCGGTGATGGCACCGACCTCTTTAGTGGCCTGTTTGCATCTTGAAGCCAAAGACCAAACAAAGAAGCCTTGTTCAGTGGAGGAGCATGCAGCAAACAACACCACCGACAAGCCAAAACAAATACTAACAAAGGTGGACTTGTACCAGAGAAACCAGTGCAGCCACCTCAGCATCACCACCCACAGCAGCAGCAGCAGCAACTCTGTTAACAGCATTTCTCTCCATGTGACATGTAAATAAACTAATTTGTGCCTTGTAAATGATATTTGAATCAAGTCCACTAAATTTAGTCTTAACATCTGTAGTTTTAAAGCTTGTGCCTTGCAAAACAAACCTGCTGCTTGCTCAAACGCCGACAGAACACATTGTGTTATTTTTATTGTCTTTTTGGTTGTTTTTTTTTTTGTTATTTTTAGTCTTCCCACCCATGTGCTTGTAGCCATTTTAAACTGCTTGGGGTCATGTTGGTCTGTCCTACACGTGTGACCCTTCAGGCTCAGATTCACCACTTCATGTCTTCATGTCCCCCCCCCCAAAAAAAAAAAAAAAAAAACCAACAACAACAAAGAAACCCCATCCAAACTACATCTGGTTTAAAATACTAACAAAGCTTTCACAAATTCTTTCTAGTCAGGTGGTTGATGATCTCATGTTTTGTTGCATTTTGTGAATGTATGTGATGGAATTGATTGCTGGTAATGCTTGTGGTTATCAGACTAACACCTGAAATTCTAACAACAAAAAAGGAGAATATGAATGCACTGAAATGTATAGCAGGGGCGTGCCCAAAGGGTGCCTTGGGTGACCCGGGCCATGTTTAAGTGATAAAAACTGTCTCATAAAGGCTTTTTTGTAGTGCAGATACTATTTTTGAAGTAACGTTCATTTCGCCTGCAAATTTATTGGTTTACCAAGATAAATAATGGCAAACCTTCACTATTGAGACCTCCCCTCTAAAGAATGAATAAATTACACTACGATGATAAGACAAACAACTCAAACCAGTTTGTTGCTGTGTAGCTGTATTGGTGACAACCATTTCCCCCTCTGTGTCACACGAGCCACCTATGACCCCCCACCAATACTGGCCACACCCCTGCTGTTTACTAACTAGCTGTGTCAGTGGTTTAGGTGGAATCAGAAAGAAACACAACTTTTAACCAGTTCTTCTTGTGCATGTTGAGAAAAATCAAGAGAAAATGTGCCAACTTACTTTGCCAATTGGCCCAAATGCTATCTCCAAGCAGGCCAATACCCATCTGAACCTGACACCCAAGTAGTCCAGTTCCCCGAGGAGGACGGCGAGTTGCAAAACCAGCGTCAAAAGAGATCACTACCAAGAAAGACAACCAGCAGGCTAACATCATAAAGACAAGTAGCGTTTTCTTTATCCGTTTAATTTTCTTCACCTTAACCTGTGTTTGTTCATGAAATTATAAATAAAAATGGGGTTTGACACCTCAAATTTATTGGGTAATACATTTCAATGCCTTAAAATCTATGTGAATATTCTTTTTTGTGTCAGGCGAAGGGTTTAGACTGATGATGTTCGGGGGTGACTGGCACAATTTTAAAATAGACAAAAAACAAACTACAAAAACCTGTGAGCTTTCCTTTACCATTTGTCTTTTTGCTTGTAACATATTTGCATTGAGTTTGTATTGACTAGCAGTGTTCAACAGTGCACTCATGGTAACAAGGCTAGCAATAGTACAGCAGGAAGGAAAATGTTCAGTGTCAGGACATCACATATGAAATGTTTATTGTTTTGCTTTCACACTTCATCCAGTATGTTCAGTATAACCTTCCTCATTCAGTTCATCTTTTAGGAAGTTCAGTTAAACACCGCTTTCATTTTGTATCTTTATATTTATCAGTTTTCCTTTATTCTGTCACAGCTAATTTTTACCAAAGGTGGAATTGCATGTCTGTGGTGTATATTTAGTACATGTTCACTACATTTCATCTTGTTTTAATCAGAATATTTGTCATCGTCATTCTCATCGTATCAAATGCGGTCAAAACCTGCGTGCAAGACTATGGAAATGGTCTTGCTGCTTCATGTTTTAACTGCAGATTGTGAATTCCACAGCCTTATTTTCTTATTTATTTCTGAAAACAGAAGAGGCATTTTTCAATAAAACTACTGAAAATCCACTTTGGTGTGTTCATTTCATGTTAAAGGACAGAAGCCAAAATAAAGCAAGTGTACTTCAGATCACACCAAAGCAGACTTGGGTTGAGTTCTTAACAAGCAGGACTGGGTTTTCTATTGTACACTGACTTGAAGGATACCTTGGCCACCAACTTCTATCCTAAGTTGTTTATGCTCTAACCCACTAAGAAGAGTTAGTCCTTGGACTGATTCAAGGAGCATTTTGAACAACCAAAAGTGTACAATGTGGTAGAAGGGTTAGGATTACTTGGGCTAAGTAGATAAGGGCTTTGATTCACTTAAGTGACCTTGGTGCACTTTTGATACACAATGGTGGCGTAAAGCAGCAGTGCCTATGCCAACTGGGACACGATAATTAGTGGTACCTGGGCCAACTTAAGGAAAAGCCTCTTTGACTAAGCAGAAGTAGACATAAGGTAAGAGGAACAAAAAAGGAGTTTCTGCACTGATACTTGGGCTAATACAATTACTTGGATCAATTTGCACGTTTTGGAAAGCAAGTGGGTTTAATAGATTCACTTGAGCATTTGGACTAATTAAGGGGTAGGAAAGAGTGTGAAGTTACTTGTGAGGCCAAGGAACAAGAGCTAAACTAAAGGGTTAAGCTTTACATCACAGCAAAGTGGATTGCTTTTACTAAGTTACTTGGTAACGAGTTTGGGAGATTTGGCAGATTAACTTGAAGGGCACATGGGCTATCAGGAACAGCACAAGATGAGCAATTGAAGATTGGCGATTTGTTAGAGCAGCTAGAACCACTTGGGCCGACTATACATGGACTTTGACATTTGGTGCCTTTTGATACTACATAGTGCTCCAAAAGTGTAAATAAATGAAATATTCTCTAGCCAGGCCAGACTGGAAAATGCCACCAAGAACTGCAGAGGCACTGGTTTCAATGTCTCTCTCGATCAAATATTAAAAGGGCATCTCAGTCATGTGGAACAGGGCCAGTTGGACAATTGAAGGCAAATCTAGCAGACTTTAAAAAAATTATCCATATTGGGATTGACTCAAGGATCATGTAATTAACCTTAAGGGTACCAGTAGTGAGTAGACAAGGACTTGGATCAACTCTAGGACCTGGATCAAGTGCCCTTTTGATATACATTGGGGGTAAGTTCTAGAGCAGTGTTTATACTAACTACAACAAAAACTGTAAAATAAGACACAGCTTACCAAAAGGGGTAATGCCAACTTCAGGATACTGTAAAGGTCTTAAAAGGCTTTGTACCTAGAGCAAATGCTTCAAGTTTCTTAGTAGTTGGCCTAGATTTCTTTCTGATGAGTTTGTCTCCACTCATTGTCTTAGTACATTATGGCCATTCACAAGACACTACACCTGGTGAAATGAGCACTTCCCAGAAAACTGTGTGCGCCTGGCTTGATTTATGACCTTCTGGGCTAATTAGAATGGAATCTGGGGTGTTTAGACTATAGCCTGCTTAATGGTTCCAAATTTACCAATTCCCTTATTGGTTAGTCAAAATTCTCCTCTACTTGAAGTGTCCATGAACCCCAGAGGAACATGTGCAGCTTAACTGTTGCTGTTTGTCCAAACCTGAAGCTCCAACAGGGACTCAGACCTGGTTTCAGCAGAAAGCTTTTTAAAAACAGAATCAGCAGCCTGGGATGGAGCCGATAATCCAGCTGTTTCATCTCCCTCAGGGCAAAGACCTCCATCTTTGAGTGGAAACTTGGAAAAGCAGACAAGAATATAGCAATCAGGAAATTGGGGAAAGTGTCATAAAGCGCTGTTCTCTTCAGCTTCTTTGAACACTCACTTTTTACAACCCCAAAGCCAGGAGCGTTTGAGAATCAGCTAACTTCACTTCCTTGATTTATTCACTGCTATTTTCTCTTCAGATATTTTCCCCCTGAATCATTGCCACAAACATGAAGCTTAATAGCCAAGCACACGAGTGAGAGGTACTAATTATCTATAAGCTGTAAACATCAGTTCTGGGCCATGGAAACACATCATCATCGGTGTTTGACTGTTCAGATGAGTTCATCTCTACTCGAGTGTGACTCATCTGGAGCTACCAGTTATAATAGTCTTCCCAAGAAGACAGTTTAAATTATTGAAGGGGAGAGAATGAATGATGGCTGCTGGACTTAACATCACGTCTGCACTCAGGGTTGTAGAACCAATGCTGGATTACAAAAAACAAATTCCTTCTCCTGTCTGCCAGATTAGCCACTGAAAAATGCATTTTTTACCAAATTATGCTTTTATAGAAAAAGTGTTAGTGATTACTTTTATAATTACTTGTTTTGTTCAACAGATATATCAGAATGGATGTTTAAAGAGCTTGTATGTGCTGAGGTGGTTTAATCTCATATGGAAAGCTAAGGCAACAACAACAGCCAGCCAATCAACAATCAGCGTTTGGCTGAACTTTTGATTAGTGCTCATCGCCAAACTCAAATATCTGATTGATACTGGATGGTAGTTACAACTGTAAACTCAAAAAGGTTTTAACCCATAGGGAATGACCACCCGAGAATAAATACAGTTTGAACTTTTGATGAGCCTAAATAAGTTATGCTTTCTGTTATTGTTAATTATTCACAACATTTGCTTCACATTTTTAAAAGGAATAAATAGATCATAGCCATCAGTCGGTCACAAAAAGCACCATTTTTGCAGTAAATATGCACATAAAATTTATTGAATATGCGTTTTGCAAGTGGACAGTCTTTAAACATTACAGCTTTTGCCAGCCTAACGGCTTCATATATGCAAATGACTGATTAGAATGGCCCAAATTGTGACCTCTCCTGCAGTCTGTGTGTTGTCTGAATGAACCAATGTGCAAACAGTTCAGCAAGCTTCCTGTGTTATGATCTCCTTGCAAATGGATGTCATGTATCCTGGAAGCTCCCTCTACTACATCAGAGTATTTCCATAAGATTAAATGTGTCTGACATACTTGAATAATGTTGAGAGAATCAGGTTGGAACAATTCATCATAAAAAAAAAACCTGACAATTTTTTTTAAAGCAGGGCTGTAAATAAAGTTTGGAGGTTTTCTGGCAAATGAGAGTCATGGCTAAGGTTTACAGACTAAACTGCAGCTTACATACTTTCCTTACTTGTTGAGTCAGAAAACTGAGAACGGTGACCACAGAACAAAAGTATCTGGAAATAAAGGAAACCAAGTGCTGCAGAAAATGCACTTTCCTGCAGTCTAATTAGAGCCAGATGAAGTGGGCGGAACACCTTTATTCCCTCCCACGGTTAAGCTTATCGGCAGCTTTGAAATTCCTCCTCGGAGCTCGCAGAAGGCTCAAATACAACCTTTGATGGTGGAAGAATTTAAAACATGTTCTGGGACTTTAAAAAAAGACGAAAAAACTGATCTGCATGCACATTCCTCTCAACCTGTTGAGTGACAAACTCAACAGGCACTTTGCGGCCCAAATAAAGAGGGCTATGGGACTTTCTACTGCATTAAACTGCAACAAATCTAACAGAGCTGAAGATGACGGACAGCTGTTGTTATCTCTAGCAGCGCATATTAATCTGCAAAATTAAGGCAACTTTGCATAAATCTCGTTTCAACTTTTAAGGAGGCTCTCCGGTTCTTTGAATGAGGGGTTTCCGTTTGAGTTTGTAGTGGAAATGCTGACATGGTTATTCTGCTAAGTGATGTCAGAGCTTTTTTTTTTTTTTTTTGTTAAGCTTGGATACTTTAACAGAAAGCAGGTTCTGCACAATGGCATGTCAAAATCAAGAACCACTAAAGTTGGGAGCTTGAAGGCTGTGCTGGCAGAATATAACAGTTCTTAGTGGGACTGATTCACAGGGAAACCACAAGGATGTGTAGTACTTGGTGACACCTTGGGCTGACTAGACAATGACTTTGAGAAACTCTGGCAAGTCTATTGTATTGTACTACTACTTGCATTCATATCATATTTATGAGGACATCCAGATTACTCATTTTATTGTTTTAAAACCCATTTATGCCACTTTTCTTTGTATTTGATGTCTCAATCATCTTCCACACGAGAAGTCTGAACTTTCTGGAACATGCGAGGTGAAAACGTAGGACGCTCAATCCAGATCCGTTTGACGCCTTGCTGTGTTCAGAGCGCAGCGTTAATGCGGAAAGAACAGAGTAGACCACTGTTTATGTTGCTGTTAAATGCAATAAAAACTCATCCTCCAGTCGCCTTTTCAAGCTCATAGCAGGACCATAAACCCGGAGAGGTTGACTGGCCAGAGATGACCTCATGGAAATACTGGCAGCTACAACAGTTTCCTCAGTTTGAGGTGTTTAGCCAGCTGCTGCCATTCAGAAACCAAACCGGTATCTCTCCAGTCAACAGCTTTATTTATGTCAGAGGTTTGTCTGCTGAGAAACACGAGACGCTGTGTAGTTTAATTTGTAGTATTTCTAGCAGGCAGAGCCATAAATGATGAAAGCAGACACACATTAAGGATCGAGAGTTTGTGTTTCATCCAATGACTGTTGAATTAACCGCTGACATCATTTATTTGTGGGACAGATTTATTATGTTGATTTGTCAGGATTTACTGGATTAGTCCAAAAGAGACTTTTAATAAATATTCAATGAGAAGAAGTTTTCCGTACAAATACACTGATATGTTTCCACATGTCGCAATCAAATGTGCTTAAAAAAATTGATATGTCACTGTAATCCAGCTTCACTTAGTTCTGTAATTTCTGGTACAAATGATAATAAAGTCAGCTCGATTATCAGGTTTTCCATTCTGCTGTGTCAAAAGTCCAACACTGGGCAGGACCTTTGGAGGAATTAAAATAGCATTTCATTACTCAGAGGACCTCAGAGAGCCAGCAGGGCTGATAACAACAGTGCTGAGGAGGACTGAAGGAACGGACACCAACTAAATACATGCCAGGGAAGGAAGGGGAATCAGGAGCAGGTGAACTAATGAAGGTGGGAAAAGCACAAATCAGGAAAGTAAAAACCAAAAAGCCAC